GGGGGGGGGGGGGGGGGGGGGGGGGTTCGGGACCACAAAATTCGGATTCCTTGGGGTCAAATCCCTATTCAACCCCGCGGTCTCCGACTTCGTGCGACCTATACCAACCGAGAAAATGGCCTGGTACGGGTAGTCTGAAACACCCTGTACATATAACATGAGCCCTATACATTACTTCATGATATTATTGAAATAATGTATAATGTTATTGCTGTGCAAAATTACAACTGAAATGTCACATGAAAAATCTGTGAATGCGTAATGTGATTTTTATGCTATTTGGCCTAATCTAACTTACCGCAAATGCAACAATTTTGTGCGATGAACCCTCTTCAACGCCCTTACATTGGAGCACTCTTGTTTTTTATTTTGTTTCTTATTATTTTTGTATTTTATATTATTTTAATTCTCAAAATCTTAAGAGGCCACTTGTCCTTTTCCCTCAATATTTTGCAAGATTTCACTGCAGATGACTCGTGAACGTGTAAAATTCCTTCGTCACTGTTATCCTTGGCGCTAAACATGTTAGAGTTATGACTACTATTATTTTAATTTGAGTATGTGATATTCTTCCTGGCTCTAGAGCGGAGCATGCGTGATGCGAGGCTCGGGCAGGCGCCGGCTCGGGCAGGCGCCGGCTCCGGCGGGCTCGCATCGCTCTTCCCTTTAAATAAATAAAACGTGTAAAAATCTAGATCCAAATATAATGAGGAGGGAAGTTATAATTAGCGGGATCGGAGCAGATATCTCTATACAGCTTGGCTGATTATAGACTGGACGGATTCAATGGACCCGTTCTCTCGAGCGGGCGCATCCCTCCGGTCGAGGGCCCTAATTTAATTTCGGGCTTGGGCTAGCTCACGTGCCGCACCGCGCTGGGGCCCGCTATCCGAAGATCATCTCCAAACAATCCTCAAATTACCCGCGGGTGCGGCCCCACAAGGAAACGCCACGTCAACTACACTAGGACAAAATTCCCTAGTAGCAAAAGATTGTGTACCAGTGGTGAGGGGTGATAATCGACTATCGATATAATCCCATTTTATTTCAAGCTATAGAAAAGAGGTGATTATTGCGGTGTTCGCTACAATCGCCCAGATAATCGATCTTCTTTCATAGGTTTGAATGGCATATCAAATGACGTATCAAAGCACGCCACGCTCTCTGATGTGCACATTATGGAGCAAAAAACTTCTGTTGTGAGGACTGAACTTTATGCGGAACCAGATTAGTGGTAAAATCTCATGAAATTTTAGAACATAAAAGGAACTAGCTGCTTCAGCTCGCTACGCTCGCTTGCGCCGCTAGCCGGGGGCAAGCCCCCTGGACCCCCAGTTACTCGCTCCGCGAGTAACTGTTGGTTCGCGGCTACTACCAGTGCTTAGCGGACTTCCTGGAGGCAAAATGATAAATTCAAAAGCAAAGAATAGGAAACTAAAAATTACCTACTTTTAGAAAAAAAAACAACCTTGAAAAATAAATAACACTCCTGGAAAAGAAAATCAGAACACTTTTTGAAAATGTAACGGTGCGAAAGGGTGAAGATAAATCTCCAATTCTCTTGGAAGAAGACATGAGCCGACCCCCGACATGAGTGAAACTGCCGTAGGACCCATGCTAGGGTAGAAGGGTGACACGTGTTGTGAGCAGGTAGGGATGGGTTTACGTGGAGAGGGAAACGGAAAATCAGAGGGTGGGAGGTCCCCCAACCATATGACTCGTCCGGCGTCAAAAACGCAAATATGTCGTTATCAAATCGAGGTAAATTTTGCAACTTCGGTCGCGCAAATCGAAAAACGAAGGGGTCTTGGCACATATAGACCCTATGAGCTTTCATTTAAAACAAATCCAAGGAAAATCGGTCCAGTAGTTTCCGAGATCGAATTAGCACAAACTGTCCAGCGGCAAAAACGCTAATATGTCGTTATCAAATCAAGGTAAATTTTGCAACGTCGGTCGCGAAAATCGAAAAACCAAAGGATGTTGGCACGTCTACAGCGTAAGAGCTTTCATTTAAAACAAATCCAAGGAAAATCGGTCCAGTAGTTTCCGAGATCGAATTAGCACAAACTGTCCAGCGTCAAAAATGCAAATATGTCGTTATCAAATCGAGGTAAATTTTGCAACGTCGGTCGCGCATATCGAAAAACCAAGGGATGTTGGCACGTCTACAGCGTAAGAGCTTTCATTTAGAACAAATCCGAGGAAAATGGGTCCAGTAGTTTCCGAGATCGAATTAGCACAAACTGTTGGAGGCCAAAACAGGCCTTAGGATAATCTAACTAATAAAAGGGAAATACATTGATCATACACTGATCCATCACGCTCGTGCCCGTTTTTCCGGGCGGAATCGGCCGTTCCGGAAAATCGGCGTGAAGCAAACTTTGAATGTATGTGTGAATGTATGGAAAGCTTTGATAGTCTCATTCTATACACCTTAGAGGGTACAATGGAGAAAAATATCGATAATTGAAGCGTTCATTATCGTAATATTTGGATTAACATGTAAAAAATCATCTTTTTTTAACAATTTTTGACCTCTTTTGACCTATTTGAATAGTTTAGGCCCTTAACCGTCCGATAGCAATTGACAAAAGTATATCAACCAAAAGTATATATTTTCAGCTTGAAGTATAAAAAAAATCGAAAATCGAGTAGACTGTTTTTTAGATGATTCAGTTTGAACATTGAATGACAAAAAAACAGTAAATTTTAAAAAACCCTAAATTACGGTCATTTAAATAATTTTTAGCTCAATTTCGATGGTCTATTCAGAATTTACATGAAAAATTGATCTAGAAGCACTCTTTCAAAGTATGATGAATTGATGCAGAGTCTCGCTATGGAGAGTCAAAGAGTGGGAAGTCGAGAAAATGCGAATCGCTAAAACGGGCTTTTTTGAATATCGCTAAAATTCACCCCATCTTTGGGGGTCGGTATCTCGCGAACGGGGCGTCGGATGGGAAAACCCTTCAAATTCAAAAATATACCTAAATATATATTATATAGCTACAAGCAAACTCTTGGAAGCACTATTTCTGACGAACTGCCGGACCGATAAGGATGATCTTTACATGTATGTCATCTGTAGTAGATGTGTAGTACCATGAAGGTATTAGCAACTATTTTCTAAAACTAATAAAGTACAAAATAAGCCCACTCTTAACCAAGTACATTAACCACTCAATCATAGAATGCGAATTCCCAGATTGCCTGAAAGAAATCAAAGTAATACCTCTGTGGAAAGACAGTGATCCCACCAACCCAGGAAACTACAGACCATTATCAATTGTATCGCCAATCTCAAAAATGTATTAGATGTCCGTAGTACAGCAAATTAATAAATTCCTTAAAATAAATAATTTACTCTGTGATAATCAGTATGGATTCAGGGAGAAACTAAGTACTGAAGCGGCCATACTTAGATGCTATGAAGCAATCATCAGCACAAAGAAAAAAAACCCTGTTGTTGTAATCGCTATAGACATAAGTAAAGCATTTGATTCGGTAAATCATGATATCCTAATGTTCAAACTAAAAAAGATGGGATTTGGAAAAGAAGCTCTTAAATGGATAAAAAGCTTTATGTCACAAAGAAAACAATATGTCCATATGAGGAAAAGCAATAAGAAATATAACTCAATAAGTAGAATGATCTATGGAGGCATCGCGCAAGGATCAATGATAGGGCCACTACTATTTATTCTGTTCAATAATGATTTAGCTATATTTTTAAAAGTAAAAGTTAAATCTCTCTTAAAATCATTTTTTGACCTTCTATTGTTCGCTGATGACATCCTCATAATTCTAAGCAATATCATACTGGAAAATCTGGAAATTGATACATTTACTGTCATGAGTTATTTTAGCCAATGGTGTAAGATCAACCTTTTTAATGTAAACACGAGTAAATCGAAATTTTTGCTCTTTAATGTAAATAATGAACTGATCAAGGACTTCCAAGTGCTACTAGATGATGAGCAAATGGAAAGAGTAGCCGCTGCAAAATATTTAGGTATTTTGTTAGATGATACTCTTAAATTCAATGACCATGTTGACATCATGTGTAAAAAGCTGCATGGCGCTATTTTTGTGTTGAGAGTCCTATCAAGATTTTGCGACATGAATCTGTTAATGGTAGTGTATCATTCTCTTTTCCTATCTCACATACTATATTGTATCAATGCCTGGTCAACTTGCAATAATAAAAAGATCGAGAAATTATTCATAACTCAAAAAAAAGCTATTAGAACTATGCTTAAATTAAAGCCTACAGAATCTTGCAAGGAACATTTTAAAAAATTACAAATCTTAACTGTTCCAGCATTGATCATATACTCATCTTTGAAATTATACAACAACAAGAAACTACAGGAATCGAGAGTGGTGCACAACCACAACACCAGAAACAGAACAGAAAGTCTAATCATAAAAATTAATAAAACAGCGGCTCGAGGCCATAACTTTTTCTCTAAACTACCATCAAACATAAGGAAAAAAATTAAAGATGAGCCCCGAAGCCACAATGCCCTGGTCAGACATTATCTAATTGAGGAATGTCCATATTCAATCAACGATTTTTTAAAGGGGACAGGTTGATATCATTGTCTTTTTTTCTTTTTTTTATATATACATACATTTATTCTTGTTTCTTGTTTAGAAAAATTCGACGCATTTGTAGAAGCCATGTGCAAGCCAAAAAACAAATAAAGATATATATTATTATGTAGATCTTAATAAAAATAATGAAACCCCGAACTTTTAATGTTGTAGAGCTTTTAAAGCTCATGTCACTTAATTCCAATGTTAATAGCGTGAGAGATATGTCGTTTCCGCTATACAAATGTCCTGTATACAAATACAGGCAAATTAGACGATTCAATCAACTTCTGACTCAGAATCAAGGAGACTTGCTAATAATCAAATTAACAGTAATGTTTGAGGTCAAGTATCTTTGATTTTGTGGCATTGAGTTGGTTTCATTATACTCGTTCAACAAAGGGCAACAATGGAGTGAAGCGTAGCTTCTTTAAGTAGACACATACGCACAACTGACGGGTAAATGTGAAAGCCAGTTTTCCAATATAAAGTATTACAAGTCTATGGAAGTATTGAGGCTTTATGCACCAGTAGCATGATACACTGAGAAGAGACACCGCAACTTCATCCCCACAGATTGAGACCCCGACAGACATCATCGTATTGAGAGGAAGGATGATTTTCTGGTGGATAGTTGCTGAATCTGATAAACGAGAAAAAATAGGTATCTAGGACTCACTATATTGAAATATCATCAATCATTCATGAACAATTACTTGAAAATATGGGTAGATCAGGGCCGCTGGGAAGAAACAGGTTGCGATCTGAGTACTTACTGTAACAACTAAATTTATCAAGGGCGCGGGAATCATAAGAGGATCATGTAGAAATGGATCCAGTTATCTTCGGCTTTGATAAAATAGAAACACGCATCGATTAATCCAGAGTCCCATTTTACTGAGAGTCAAGACAACGTGAATCAATTTCTGATTGGTTCCCGTATTTTTAGGCCTCCTCAGTGTCATAAACGGGAATAAAGATTACATTTTCACCAATTGCAAAGATTATAATCTGGAATGGGCCAGGGAATTACGGGTTCGGCAAGGAACAAACGGAATGAGAGAAGTTACGAAGAAAGGAATTTGAGAATGTGAGATATTTACTATCGAAAATAGGGTTATTATTAAATCATGGGTGGCGGTAGCCATCTCCGGACAAAGTCTAAACTCGACAACACTGGAAAGCCTCCAAACGAAAAAGGTGGCAGCCAACCATAGACACACGTAACTCCCTTATTCTGAAAATTGATTCGGTTCGAACTCGACTGCAGCCCAAACGACGGCACGGATTCCAACGATCTTGGTGTTTACTGACGCACCTAAATTGGGCCTACAAGGTGGGAACGTTTCATCAAGATCCATTGAGTTTTCAAAAAGTTATAAGCACTTAAAGGCCCAAAATGACAAATATTTTTTGTAACATGGGCCGTTTAGTAGCGGGAAACCGACATGATCACCTTTCACAACAGATTTCTTGCTTACGCGGCCACAGATTCTAATGAAACCTACAAAGGATCATGCTTGAAGATATGAGGATTTCATTTCTACCACATTTAATAGGGTTTCAATGCTCGGATAATTCAGCATCGGCAAATAACTTTCAAAATTTTAGCTACAATGTTTTGAATTTTAGATAAATTCCGGTAGTGGTTCAATGCCATTGCCGCCATTGGTCGATTCCGTTCTGTTCAGCCAGTCTAGCCCGTGTTTCGGGAACGAAATTTCCCTGCCTCGTTACCAACTTCCAACTCAAACTAGTTGAGCACAGATCTATGATTTAATTATAATATAAGAGTTCAATTCTCTGTAGAAGCTAAATAATATTTTTACACACTTATATTATTACGTCGCACGTCTTTTGCCAGAGCCCGATACACTACTTCATTAGTTTCTCTTAAAATGAAAAATGTTCAAGTGATGTCTTTGTTCAGAAGTGAGGTTATCAGTCCGTTCATCTGTCTGACCCAAGCATCAATAAATGTAATTCAGGTGAATTACGTCGATAAATAAAAGGACACCAAAGTTATGCCAAACTATCAAAAGGAAGCAGGATTTACACCACAGTTTGCATTCTCGTGACTAACAGCATCCAAATATTTCGCTACCATGCACACCAACGGATCGATGGATCAAAGGGAGAGCCCATTACTCTCAGTTTTTAATTATATTATTGTTTTCTTCAAGTCACGAATCCTAGTTTCCATATCTTGAAGAGATGTAGTTGTTTTCGGTGGACCCTAGCAGTCTCAAGAAAAGATCTAAAAATTACTGTAATATGAGCCTTCGCCCACCACACTACATGCGACACGGTCACTATGCTCTGACCAAAATTTATTCGCTTTAAATTTTGCTTTCAACCTACTTGCTCTGGAGTGCTTGTGCTTTTCGTAAGTGTATGTTATTGACATTAAGATCTTGTGTTCTTCATGACTAATCTTGGAAAGCTTTCGCCTCTTTCCGTTGCTTGTTTACATCGAAGACATCATGGGGATTTGCGAGGATGCGAGGTATAATTCAATCACTAAGTCAACTTTATGTCCCTAAATCAGAGATCTTTGACGATGAGTATTAGCTCAAATCTGGTTTTCTTCGAGTCTCTTTGATTTTGCGTCAGAAGTTGTTAGAAACACCATGTGGCCAGTCAAAGTGTAACAAAGTCTTTCATGAAAGGTATGTACTCGTTCTATTTTCTCAGCTTGATGATTACTATAAAATCAAGAATTTATATTGCTGCATAAATCGCTGGGCCAAGTAAGTACGTAGCGCCCGTTCCTTCTCTATTTTAACATATGAAAACTTGATGTAAACACATCAAATAATGAGGTTATGTTATGGACTTACACTGGTGATGCAGCTACCGACTGTTAGATAATAAACCCTTAAATGCCATCCGGCTAACTTAGCTGTGTCCATAGACACCAAGATTGTTGGAATCAGTGCCGCCGTTTGGTCAGAATTCCATTCTAAATCGAATCAATTTTCAGATTAAGGGAGTTGGGTGTGACTAAGAGTGTCGGCCACCCCTTTGCTCTAGGGACTTTAGAGGGCTTTTTTTTTATCCGAACCACAGTGGACCACAATGGAACGCATCACTTTTTTATCGCGTTCCACTGGCGCGATCCAGTGCGTTCCATGTGTTCCAGTGGAACGCTTGAACCACTCTTCCGAGGTAGGTTGAGGTTGGTTCAGGCTGGTTCAACCAGCCTGAACCACTATCATCGCGATCCATGTGTTCCACGGATAAAAAATAGCCCATAGTAGGTCGTCATTTTCCTCGACCAGGGGTGGCTACCGCCACTCTTGATGTGAAAATATTGTGGTGTTGTTGGTTGTTGTGTCACAGAAGTATTCCATCTTCACCTAGTGAGTTTCTAGCATAATTACTCCAGTGAAACAATGCGCTCTGAAATTAATTGAGCGTTGGGTCTATGTATGGTTCGCGTGTCTACCTAGTTCTTAGTGGAATAAATGTAATCGGGTGAATCAAAGCCAAAAAAGATTAGACCAATCGGTAGCGTTTATGATCAAAAAGTTTGCGCCTAGGTACCAACTGCGGAACATGCTCTGATGAAGAGTTTGGGGGTGGTGTTTTTAGTCGGACGGTGGACAACAAAATTACTAGGATTGAATTCTTGAATTTAAGGCCATTGTAACTTGAGGTTGAAATTCAGTCGATTATTACCTGAATCGCTCAAGTTCAACGGAGTGAATAATAGGTATACAGGGTGTCTCACGAAAAACGAGCCACCTTCAATATCTGCCGAACGCGTCGGAATTTCGAAAAACGGTAAAAGACGTGTTCGTTTATATCGAGGGGGACACCTTTTGGCGTGTTCGACATTTTCCCAAACCGCGGGAGGGGCGCGGGGCGGGGGGTGCCCCACCCGTAAGTCGAACTTTTCAAATGGCACCCCTATTTTTTTATTTCAGAAATCAATTTTACGCAAAAAAAAACAAGCCACCCTGTCCAAACCGAATGTAAATCGGACCATTTTTCAGTGATTGACAGAGTTTGAAACATTTTTTTCATGCTCTTTTCAAAAATTTCCCACGCCCAATGGAAT